TGCTAATATTCTTTATTTCTCCAGATTATGAACTATTAACTGAAAATGACATGTTACCAAATATGAGGATAGGTGCCCTAGGCTTTTCTGGTGCTTTTGAAGACAGGGACCCTACACAGTTTGAAGAGAGACACTTGAAATTTCTACAGCAACTTGGCAAGGTAAATTGTCAGAAGTTTTTCAAATAGAGTATAATCATACAACATTTTATTTAGGAAAAAAAGGCTTTAGAGAATCTCTAAAGTCCATTTTCTACAAAATTTAAGGAGTGTTTGTAGAAAAAAGGTTAATTCGTCAGATGTTGCAGAAATGCTGTGTTAAATAAACAGTTATCTTTACTAAAGAACTTTTCAGAGCCTCCTTTAACATGTAATGTGCACTGAACATCTTCAAAAGGGTAAAAAATTAGGTGGTATTTCTCAAATTACTTGACCATGGGACTGTTTCTTGGTAGGAGGAATTTGTAGTTTATCATAAGTGAGTCAATGAAACAGAGAAAGGAACACTTAAGCCTTTCTACCTGCTTTTCTGCCTTTTAGTCATCTCAGGGAGAAAAAATTAATCTGATTGCTTAGGGCCTAGGATATTGGACCATAGTCACTAGCAGAGAGAGTATCTGTTAAAAGGTCATGCAGTCATACGTAACCTACATACTATAAGAAAGACCAGGAGACACTCAGTTCTTAGCAGGCCCAACCATAGTGGTAAGCTTTCTCTCTTTCTGCCCTTAAGTTGGCTGGTACAGGGTTCTGTACCATGTGGCCTTATGAGTTGGATTTTGGCATGAACACAATATGAAGGCCTCACCTAGGCTTTGAAACTAAGCTAAATATTCCAGTATAGCTTTACTAGACCTGAACATTGGGGGTTATAGTAAGTATTGGCTTAGTTGTATGAATTCTTTGCTGTTGTTCCTTGTTTGTAAAATATTCTTGGGAATGTTTGAAAGGTTATAGCAATGGCATAAAAGCAAAACAAAACAGTCACGTCCAGGTTTTTGAGTGTGTTAGTTATCTTTTGCTATGTAACAAATCACCCTAAAACTTAACAGTAAAAACATTTATTATCTCCAGTTTCTATGAGTCAGGAATATGGGAGCAACTTAGCTCCCATGGTTCTAGAGTAAAGTTTCTCAGAAAACTGTAATCAAGGTGTTAGCCAGGCCTTGTGTCTCATCTAAAGGCTTGAATAGGGGAAGATCTGCTTCCAAGCTCACTCACATGGCTATTGACAGGCCTCAGAAAGTCTGCTTCCAAGATCACTTACATGGGTCTCTCCACAGGGCTGCCTCACAACATAGCAGCTCAGAACAAACATCCAAAGTGGAAGCCCATAACCTAATTGCATATAACCTAATCACAGAAGTAGCATCTTATCACTCTTGCCATATTCTCTTCATTACAAGTGAGTCAAAAAATCAAGCCCATGCTCAAGGGTGGGCTGAGGGATGGATTATAAAAGAGCATGAATGCTAGAAGGTAGGAAACATTGGGAAATATTTTAGAGGCCACTGACCAAACTGGCTGACTTTGACAATAATTCTCTGTTGATAGCATTAATTTCCTGGTAGTATGCAGTGTGTCCAAAATTTATTAGACCATAGAAGCCTGGTTAACCTCCACTCCCCCCCTTATCTATTGACATCTCGTAGAAAGTGTTTTCTAGAACAGTTTGGGAAATAATACTTCAGACTTAAGAGTAATCTCTTCATTTTACAGTGAGAAAAATTGAGGTCCAGAGAAGTTAAGTAACTTGCCTGTGGTTACACAGCTAGATATTAGCAAATATGAGATGAGAACCTTTGTTTCTCTACTTCTGCTTCCATGCTGTT